AAGATTCCCTTACCAAGACCACATAAGCAACGGATTTTATCGTTACACTTACACCCTCCAAGATAGGTTTTTAAATACGAATCGTATGATGTACCAGCCGGAAGATAGTTACTGATATCAAGAATCTTGAACTTATTAGTACTAATACACATATAGCTGGGATTCTTGATTACCATCTTAATGTTTCCAGCTCCTAAAACAGCGAAAAGATCTTTCTTGACTAGATTGATATCATATCTTCCAGAACCAGTGCTCTTACAATAAAATAAAAATTGTACTGGGCTTCACAGAAGCACATAATAATCATTGCAATATACCGATCCACAATAAAAAATATTCAATTATTTTGCTGTATTGCAAGGTTCAGGACGGGACAGTGATGTGAGATTGACCCTATCACGCTACTGACTTGGGTTCGAAGCCCACTGCTGCAGAGAAGGCTGGTGACTATCATCCAAGCTGGGTTCTTTTAGCCAACCAAATATAGCCGGCGACGGCAAGATACGAGCCAGCCTGAGCAGCAGTTTTGCTGGGTTCTGAAAGAAAACATAAAATTAAATTTTAACGAACACAAAATAAGGAGTCTAAACCTTTTTTCCGGCAGCGTTGTAGCTCTCACGTTTCTTGTGCTCTTTCTAAACATCATCAATGCCAACAAGCGAGGTGAAGCTCCAAAGGTCGCGATTCGCTCGTAGAAACACGAGCATCTCAAAGTTTGCTAGCAGCAGACTTGACCGCCGTGGGGTTAGAATTAGCTTGCACTGTGAAAAGAGGCGCTCACATCGGTTGCTAGTCGGCGGCAATTGGCTCAACAACTCGTCGTACTTCTGTGCTGACGCGTGGCGAGGCTTCTTGGCTTGTCGGAGTGTGGCTGTAGCGAAGTCCACCTGCTTGGTCGGCGGGGCCGAAGAAGGTTGGACGACCAGAAAGGGCTCGACAGCAGCTTCTTCGTCCGCTTGAAGCCTGCGATCACCCTGAACGTTCACGACGGCCCGCTCAAAGACAGGAGAGTGCACAATACTGGCATCAGCCTTGAGGTAACTTGCCGTTACCGGTACTTCACCACCACGGCGTCGAAAAGAAGCCGGACGTCAGCAAGCGCTAGCTTCTCGCTCTGCAACTTTACGCATACGCTGTCAAGGTCACCCAGCTTGCTCAGAAGCTGAACAATGCGGCGGTGAGAGCTTGGACGTGGCACTAAATCTTCAACAGCTTGCACCATCTTGATAGCGTCTCGAATATCGGCGTAGCGCTTGAGCATCTCGTAAGTAGATGACCAACGCGTCGCGTTGGCCTTCAGCGGCTTGAGGCCCGTGAACGCTGCCAGCGCAGCGCTGTTGTTTGGGTGTCGCAGCTAGATGCACAGAGCTTGAACTTCAGCGATGAGGTCCTCATACTCGGCGAGATACTCGCAAACCGCCAGATTGAAGCGGTGGCTTGCGCAGCCGATCAAGGGAACCTTGAGCCGAGTAGCAATAGCTTGTTCGTCGGGCAGTTGTCGCCAACAACGAAGCGCAGCATCTCTCGGTTCTTTTCGTAGACACCAAGAACGTTGTCGATCATTTCGATGTGAGCATCGGCCGACTGTCCATCCTCAGCCATCGAAATAGACAGCAGAGGCTGTCTCCGCA